AAAATCTTCAGGGCACCTGTAGGTGGGGTCAGCCCACAGCTTGCAAAGAGAAGACTGGGTCCTCAGCACCCTCCTAGAGAGCTATACAGTGCAGTGAGTGACAGTACCTACCCCAAAGGGCTGAGCTCTGTTACAATCGCAATGTGGAGATGAGAAAACTGAGGCACAAAGCACTGAGGTCCTTGCCTGAGGCTGACCCTTGGGCACTGCCTATTGGACCTGACATCTGGGCAGGCTTCTCAAGGTGAGGACAGTTCAGTCAATTTCTCTCCCAGTAGGACTTGCCCATGATGTGATCCCCCAGCAGGGGAGCTCAGCTGTGCCCTAACTGCTGGACATGTTCCCAAGGTAAGCTCAAGGGCAAGTGTTCCATTGAACATACTTAGGGAAACACAGTGCAAGATGCTGTCAAGAAAAATCTTATCTGGATAGAAAGCATCCTGGCCAGGACACAGTTACACCACTGCGGGGGACAGGTCTGGAAGCTCTAGACTTGGGATAACAAGGACAGAATTAGTTCCTCTTCAAGGGTGCCATGCTGGAGAGCCATACCTACCCATTGAATGACATAGTGTCCCCCTTCTGCCAGCCCTAATGCTCCAGGACCACCATATCATCCATGCCTGCCAACATCCCCACCATCAACAGGTTAACCATCCTGCCAGGCCTTTATCCACACAGCCTTCCTGGGATGCCCACCCAGCCACAGTCATCCCATATCACCCAAGCCAAAAGCCATCAGCCCAAATCTCAGTCTGACGTGAATGGGTTGCTTGACTCAAGACAGTAGACATCTGGCTCCTTTTGTCTCGAAATCCCTATTTATTATAGTCTGTGTCCTTCAAGACTCATAGTTCAATAAATCAGAGAGATAATAGGCTCAACGCTTTGTGAAACTGTGGTAGCCCCCTTTACAAAAGGCCATTACTTCTGCTCCTCATAAGAATCCTACAAAGTAAGTATCATGATGTTCCTTTACAGATGGAGAGATCAAGGCTCGACTCGATCACCAGCCAGAGATGCCCTGCTGATGGGTGTGAGATCCACCATTTAACTTGGGTCTGTGTGGCTGCAGTCTGTGACGTCCTAAAGAGTGCATTTCCATAGAGAGAGCCAGGAAAGAGAAGCACAGGCTCCCTGCACAAGGACAGGCCAGCCAGAACTACCCCGTGACTGGGACGGGAGAACTTCTCCATGGCCACCCGCAAGTGATCTGATCAAAGGCGAGTATCTGAAGGTCATTCAGTGCAGCAGTCCCCAGGTGAGGACGAGACCAGGCACAGGGGCCAATCCAGAAACAGAGTTTCAAGGCACTGAAGCTGCAGCTCTGATTGAATCACCAGGCCAGACCCTGGGTGATTACCAAGCCATAATGGGGTCTGATATTTATATTAGTCACGAGCCTGACGGAGAAAATGTGTTGTTTTCTCAGACACAGCCATGGAGACAACACCTCAATAATTCATTACATGCAGACCTTCCTTGATCAAACCCAAGTGCCTACAAGGGCATCAGCTCAAACTGAGAATATCAGGGAGACTGTGAACAGCCACACACAGGCTCCGGAGCAAACCACAGCTCCATGAGGAAGGGGGCCTCAGCTTCCCCAGACATTTAAAGAGAAGCAGTCTGTGAGCTAGATGAACAGAGGAAGGGAGTAAAGACACAGAAGTGGTTCCAGGCTGAATTCCTAAAGGATTGCTAGAGAACTGCAAAACACAGGCAGGACCAGAGATTTTACCCATAATGCCCCTCTCCTTTCCCTCTCCTATGTGGAATCCCAGAGTGGGAAGGGACAGCAGAGCTCACAGCTTTCAAACCTCCTATTTGACACACAAGGAAAGACAGAGAGGTTAAAGGACTTCTTCCAAGTTGTGGCCTCATCCAGGCTACAAAACACTAATGTGCTGCCACAAAACATAGTAGCTCCTCTTCACTTTATCTGCAGCTGGACTGGACCTCAAAAATGCCATTTTCAAGTGAATAGAGAGTTCTGATGAAATCCAATAGGGTAAAAAAAAAAAAAAAAAACAGCAATATGTGAAAAGGTACAACAAAGAGCACACAGTACCAGGATGACCATGCCCAGGTGGCCAGTGGGAGAAAATGTGGCCAAGTTTTCTCTTTTACAACCTATAAAAACTCTACATTCTACTGTTTTCAAAATGCAAAAGTCATTGGCTCTATGTAAATTGGAGACCAAAGGTACTCATGGGAAGAGACCCCACACTGCACATGCACTGTCTCAAAAATGATGCAGACCCAGACACCAAATGCGTGTGATTTGGAGCACCCTGCTGAAACATCTCTCGCTCTGAATTTCAGATGCTGAAAAGGCTTGCCTTCCTTGGGACTCCACCTCCACTCAAATCACCATGGGCCTGGATGAAAGTGAGGGCAGGTGAACACATCCAAGGATGGGTAGAACTCTGCAGGAAGCAGCCAAAGTTTGCTTGGAAAAGCCAGCACTAAAATAACTGTTCTCAAGTTAAGTTAAAAACTTTCTTCTGCACCAAGTCTCAACAACACTATCAAATGGCTTGGAAAGCAAAAAAGAAAGAAGGGCCAAAGAATGTGACTGCAAAAAAAAAATGCAGACCCCAATGGTAAAAAGAAAAGCTTAGAAAGGGCCTGATTTGCCATTATTGGTCATGATGAGCTGGCTACACACCATTGCATTGAACAAATCAAGGGGCGGGCGTGTTTTAAAGTGGCCTCAAGATAGAAGAAATAACTTAATCTCATCCTATATTGGCCTCACTTATTTTCAATCAACCAAAACCCATCTCGTCCCAAGTTGCTTGCTTATAGAAACTTGCAGCTATGTGTACTCCGCTGGTCTTAAGGCTGCAAAATACAGCCAAAGATTTACAGATTGTTATTTCTAATGATCATTGCCAAATCCCTATTTTCTTATGAAAAATTACACAAGTCTTGCTTGGTCATCACTTAGGAAAGAATCCTTATGTGAACTATCTGACGAGCATTTCATGACAGACAGGCACTGTGGTAGCATTTACATGTTCCTTAGAGTAAAAAGATTTTAGAAGCGATGTTTAAAACCCAAGGATCACAAAATCAACACATCTTATTCTGACTCATTGAAAAGTTTTCATTCTATCAAAATTGCCCACTTCCTGAAAAACAGAAGGCTGTCAAAAAGTTCACTCAAATCACTCTGTCTGGAGAATATTGTAAATGCATGCAACTGTGAGCTATCATTCCCCTAAGGACAGTGGCTGAATCTCAGTAAAAGGGGGAAAAAATTCCAGAATTGAAGTCTGTCAGGGGGAGGTGGAGGAGAGGAACTGTGTGACTAAGAAGGCTCTGTGAATGAGTGTGTTCCCAGGGGGTGGGCTAGGCAGGGGGCATCTCCAGCACTGGTGCTTAGAATTTTGCTTAATCCAAGGGATTCTTCCAAAGGTGGGAGGTCTTCCTCCTTGACCTCTAATCCAAAGAAAGCTGGATAGCCAGCCTCTGGAACCAAGCAGAGAAGTGTGAGAAGACAAGGAAGAGAATGTTTTTTTTTTAATTTTTCTCCCTTCTTGCAACACACCAGTATTTTCCAAAACACAAACGTGCTGCCACAAAACACAGCTGAGCTCCAGTAGCACCCAACATGATGTATAATTAATGACCGGAGACAGCGCCTGGGTTCGCCCTTGTGTTTGTACAATCAGCCTTCACCTTAGCCCCTGGTTTTCCTCCTTCTGTCCTTAGTGGCCAGGAGGCTGCTAAGAGTTGCTGTGCCATATGAAGTTTGAGGGGTCTTGGGATTAACTTTACTAAGAAAGGTGCAAACATTTACAGATCAAGGTGTGTGTCTACTCTACACAGTTCCCCTAGACATCCTCTTCCTCCAAAAACTGTGAGTGTTGTAAAGTCATCTAGAATGGCAATTACTCAAAAAAAAAAAAAAAAAGGTAGCTCTGTCCCTTTTCCCCATTCTTTCTTCTCTATTCTGCGGTTTTCTATTAAACACTGGCTTATTGCCCCAGCCCCCATCTCCAGCCAGTGGCAGGTGGTGGAGAGAGACACCTCTAAGGTCACGGCCAGGCGGTCATCCTAGCAGCCACACTTCCAAGGTGTAGCGAGCCTGGTGGGCGTCTTTGCCAGGAATAGCCTAAACCACCTGGAGCTCCAGGAACGGGCTCCGTGAAACCGCGGCCTCCGCGAGCTCTGTGCGGCGGGTGGCCCTAGAGCTCCAGCTCTTTGTTGCTGGTAGCATTTCTGGGGACCCAAAGTGCGTGGCCTGGGGACAGAAGTACAGGGGCAGTCAAAAAACTTGGAGTGTGGACATGTTCTACAAGAATGTCTAAAGACTAGAGTGGGAGGTGACATCAGATTTGTGACCTCGCCACCTTCCTAAAGTCCCAGCCCTATGGTTGCCTCCAGTTCTGGGATGGATCTCCCCAACTTTCTCTGCCCCCTCAGGTACCCAGCTTTCTCTAGCCACGTTCCTCCTCCGGGATTCCCTAGTACAAAAGAGTTCCCCCCTTGCCGAGGCACCTTCCCTTCTTTTCGGGGCCCCACGAACTCATCTCTGCAACAGGATCCTGAAGTGCGACTGTGCTCCCCTGGCCCACCGCGAGCACCCGCGCCGCGGCAGGTGAGCGGGGCGGAACATGCACCCAGTGGTCCCATTTCGTTTGTCCCCACCGGGCTGGTTCTCCTCACCCTGCACCACAGCACCCGAGAGTCACGTCCCCCACCCCGGCCCCAACCGCAGCCGACTGCAACCCTACAATAAACAAGGGAAAGGATCCGGCGTCCGCTTCCCGAAGCGCACCGGTTGCGGACAACTCCTCACCCCCCAGCGCGCAGCCGGAGCTGCTCCGATCGGAGGGCGCAGGGACAGCAGTGGGAAGGGAAGGCGAGGAAAGGAAAGCAGGCAGGGTTGGAGGGAGGCACTGCGCCCTGCGGAGCGAGGAGGTGGGTTGCAGGGGACGCGGGGAAGCGGCGGGGCTGGCGCAGGGGGTGGGCGCCCGGGGCGCGCTTACCTTCGTCTTGCCCCCGCAGTGGCAGCAAACGGTCCACAGGTACTTGAGCGTCCGCCAGAGCAAGATGATGAAGAGGCCACCGAAGAAAGTCACCATGGAGGAGGCCAGGAAAGCCCACCACATGCGTTGGCCCCGGCTGTCGCACGGCACCTCCATGGTCACCGGGATGATGAGCGCATCCATCTTGGGCTCGTGGACCGAGGACGAGGAGGAAGAGGAGGAGGAGGAAGAAGAGGAGGAGGAGGAGGAGGACGAGTCTAGGCTGAGATGGTTCGCGTGGATATTGCTACTCATTCTAAGACCGCTGCCTCCGCCGCCGCCGCCGCCGCTGCTGCTGCCGCCGCCGCCACCATTTGCCATAGCTAGCAACGGGCGGCCGGCGCAGGGGCTCGGGGGAGCTCCTCCCGCCGCCAGCGCCACCCCGAACACCCATCAACAGCCATGTTGCTGCTACTGCTACCGCCGCCGCCGCCGAGCGCGGGGAGGGGGGCGGGGAGGCGCCTGGGCTCGGGGCGCTGTGCGCGACCTGGCGGGGTGCGCGGAGATATATACAGCTAGCCGCCGCGCCCGCCCTCCCCCGCCGCCGGCCCGCCCGGGGGGAGGGGATGGAGCGCGCGGGCGGCTCCCCCTCCCCCGCCCGCGCCCCGCTCACCCCGGGCTGCGCTGGCCCGAGCGCCCAGAACCAGGGAACGCCGCGGGCCGTCCGCGCCCGGGGTCTCTGCCGCCCCCGGGCCCGCCCGGGCTCCGCGCGCAGGCCCGGGTGCCCTGGGCGCCGCGCCGCCCGCCGTGCGCCAAGCGTGTGCGCTGCGCTCAGGCCGGGGACCCCCCTCCCCGCACGCCTCTCGCGCCGCTAACTAGCCGCTCTTGGCTTATTAAGCGGCACCTCGTTAATAATATAGAATCGGCCCGCGGCGCCCCAGCGCCAGCCTGCCTTCCCGGCTGCGCTTGGCTCCTAATCGCCGCCCCTGTGCGAGCCGGGCCGCCGCCTCCTGCTAGCCCATGCTCCCTGGACCCCGAGTCGTGTCTCCAAGACGCTGAGCCTCCTATGCCTCCGCTCTCTCTTCCTTCTTGCCTCCTCCGGCTCCTCCTCGTCACCGTCCTCGCTGCCCGATCCTCTTCGGCGCGCGCCCCGCGCTCCCCGCAGCCGCCAGCAGTGGCAGCTGCAGCAACTGGAGCGGGCGCGGGCTCAGGCCGCCCGAAGCGGGAGGGGAGGAGGCTCAGCGCGCTGGCTCGCTTGGGCTTGGAGCTGGGCAAAGGCAGGCAGGCCCCTTCGCGGTGAACCTACACGTGCCTCTGACCACCCCAGCGCGCAGAGTAATGCGCGCCCAGTCCAAAGAACCCAGCACCTCTCTCCAATGATGCTACACACCCACACACACCCTCCCCCCTGTGCCAAGCGCCTTGAGGGACCCGGGGAGAGGGACAAGGCTCCAGGGCCAAAATGTTTTTTCCCAAATGAGCCCTCAATGGGGAGGGAGGGGTGGTCAACTGTCAGCTTGATCCCACAGGCCCAGTGTCCCAAGATCATGGGGCTCTCAGTGTGAGGAAATTCCTGACCCAGGATACCTAACGACTACCAACCCCATATTTTGCTTTTCTTTTTATTTCTAGGTGCCCCAAGACCCTGCGTGTGGTCGAAGGGCAGGGCCATCTGGAAAGCTATGGTCTGTGGCCTCTGATAGCAGCAGGTGGTTTTTGGCCTTTGTAAGCAACAGAGGCGCCTAAGAGAGTAGGCAGAGGTGGACACCAAGAGCAGCCTCAAGCATGATGCAGGCCCCAATGGACAACAGGGTTACTCAAAGAGTCCCTCCCCTCTTATTGAATCTCAGACTCCAGCTGGGAAAGGAGTGTGCCAGGCTTCATTTAAGCTCGCCTTTCCTGGTGTAGAGTCTTTCCTCCTCCCCACTTAAAGGGGTCTGGGTTTGTTCAGCAGCCCCCATCCCAGCCATAAGGCAATTCCCCTATTGATGTTCTCACAAGCTTTGCTCCCTCTGGGCACTATGCTTCCTCCAGCTACCTGCTGGACCACAAGTTTTTCCAGTGCTAATTAAAACAAAGATTATCACACTCTCCCCTCACTGCCCACAGTGATTTCCCCAAAGTTTCCAGCTCATTAGTTTAAGCCTAATTGGAATTCTCAGGTTCCCTTCAGTTCTTCCTGTGGTAGAGGCCCAAGTTATCCTCCTTAACTGTAGGGGCCTTCTCTGTCTGATTCAGGGTCAGTCCTGCCCTTGCCCTTGGAGGCTTAGGATGCAGAGGAGTGGGGCCAGGCAAGGCCAAGCTGGGCAGAGACTGAAGGAGATGCCTAAAGCTTCAACTGGTTGATTGAGAATACCTTCATTGGGTTCAGTGTAAACATCTATTAGACAAGCATTTAGGCCAAAGTCAAAGAAAAAAATGGAACGCAGTAAGATTTCCTGAGTATTGGTATCCAAAAAGCAGTATGTAAAAGAACTGCAGATAATATTTCGAAAGCAAAACTGTCAGAGTTTCCATTTTGTCATCTTATGGTACCTCCAACCTTGTCCTTCTGCAGCCACTCTGACATATCAGTCTCATATATGAAAAGTCCTGGGTCTTTTTCAGTCCTGTGCTGGGGAGGAGTTCAAAGTGACTGCAGCATTGAAGTTCCTTTATTTTTTAACTTTTGAAATGACCACACTTTACTGTCTTTGTGCCTCAGCGTATGCAAAGAAGTTAAGGACTTTCCTTAAATCAAGTCCAAGATTTGAAATTTTAAAATAAAATCCCCGAGATATAAAAAGAGAAGCAGAAGATAGGATCGCCTCACCAGTGGAGTTTAAAACCTCCACAATGGAGTTCCTCACTCACAAAATTGATCTTCTGCAAACCAACAAGTCTCCCTGAGGTCTTCCTACACCACCCCCCAAAAGCCTAGATCCCTGTACAGTGTCAGTCTCTGGGCTGTTAGCAAGAGGCTACTGGCCTTCTATCCCCCAATTGCAAAATCCACAGCCCTGTCTCTCCCCATCATCACCTTCATCAATTCAGTATCCTTTAAGAAGATGCTGGAAGGCCCCTAAGACACCCTCTTCTTCTGATTTCTACAGAGAGATTCACTGTCAAAATCAATAGTCTCTGTCCCACAATCCCCAGTTCCCTCACCACCTCCCTGAGTAGCCTGCCTGGTAGGTGTTGAAAGAAAACACCACCCTCCACTAGGGATAGATGACATTAGGCATTTTCCTAGCTCTCTCCAGCCACTTCTGCTCTGTCCAAAAACTGGTCTTACCAGTGTAGGAAGAGGTTCTGCCTCTTGGACCCAATGGATCCTGAAACTTCAAAGGTACCTTAGACATTTTCCATTAGTTGTGTTCCCTTATTTGTAAAACCTGAATAAAAACAGGGACCATACTGCCTACCTCACAGGGTTATATATAAGGATGAAAAAGAAAACACAATACAGATCTTGGCTGTGATACTATGACCTGAAAAATTGGACAGGTTCTGAGCAGAGCTTCTGACCACACACCCAGACTCATGTGTGTGCATGCAGACTGCTCTGCAGGAGATGCAAGGAGGGGGATTGTGAGCCCCTTACCCACTTTGCTATTCTGCATTCCACAGGCCCCTCAGCTGGGATGAGGACTGAGGCAAGGTAATGCAGTTGCATCTGCACTGTGCTGTGACCTTGACACTGCACCCAGAGGGCCCCAAGGAGAGCCAGGCTGTGGAGTCTCCAGGGCACAGCAGAGCTCCTCCATCCTGCATGGGGTCTCTGACCCTGTCACCCATGGCCACTCACTGTCTCTCCACTCCCTGGATGACCCAGGAAATGGAAGGAGTACAGAGAACCACCTGCATGTGGTCCTAGCACATCTTTACCTAATGTGGGTGTGTCCCAGGCTGGGAACTAAGTGCCATTGTATAAGAACCAAAGCTAAAACAAAAGTAGAAACTTCTCTCTCTTTTTAAAATACAATTTGGGCCATTTATTTGTTTCTAAATACATTTAAAATCCTCCCTGGGAGGAGGGCAGTCTCTTTCCAAGCTGCACTTTTATCTGCGGCAGCTTTCAAAGCAAATCAGAGGTTTCAAGTTTCTTAAGTATTCTAATCTGAACAATTCTAACTGACTTAAAGGAAATAAAATAAGTGCTTAAACATACAGACTAAAAAAGCAGAGTGATTAAAAGCCAAAGAGGACATTTATTTACCTAAATGTTGGCCCAGAATCACAATTATTGTGTACTGGATTTTCTTTTTCCCCAGCCTGCACCCAGTTCCAATACTCTGACGCTAATCTTGGCTGTTTCTGCTCTGGAGAAGCCAGGTGGTGACTCTTTAAGTGATCTAGCGCCTTCTTGTGGCTTTTCCAAGAATATCACCTTTTGGTCATTGACAAAAAGGGGGCTTATTCCAACTGTCTGAAATTTGAGATATGAAAATTCCAAAGAAGAAAATCCTACTGTTAAAAAAAGAAAAAAATAAGTGTAGTCATGGGGGAGGTGTACATAGATTGGGGCAACAATGATAAAATGATTCAAATTTTCAGTTAGCAATAAGTTCAAGAGATCTAACACAACTACTACAATTAATAACACTGTATAATTGAAAGAGAATAGATGCTACGTTTTCTCACCACAAGTAAACAATAAGCATGCATGAAAATACATATGTTAGCTTTATTTAACCATTTCACAATGTATAGATATATTTCAAAACGTCACTTGTACACCAGAAAAAAATACACAATTCTGTTGATTTAAAAAATAAATAATGAAAAAAAATGTGGAGAAAATGACCACCACACTATTATTAACTTACCTAATGTGGTTAATAATTAGTTCATCATTATTAACTAATATTACTAATATTAACCATTCAGTTACTGGATCTATCAACATATCAACTGTTGGGATGAAGGCAGCAAATGAGGTTCAGATCATTACCAGATTTGGTGTCAGATCTGAGCTATAATTATTATTGCTTCATTGACCTTGTGTTCCCTTCTAAGCACTCAAAAGTACTCCTCTTTCTTATCTTCATTAATCTTCCTAATCTCTTTGTGATATAAGAAAGGGCAGTAACTATTCTCCTGCTTTACAGATAAGGAAACTGAGGTTTAGATCTGTGCATTACTTGACATGACAGGAGAATTTGCCACCTCTGGAACAATTTGTGCCTTTGTGATTTATAAGAAGAAGCCAGACTTCAGTGACCCAGCACTCAAAACTAGGTCCCAGGGTCTCTGAGTGCCAAAAGCAAACTCTGGTTCCCGAGATAGAGAGAGGCAGAGAAAAGGCTTTGAGCAGTTTGTTTCTCATATTTATTTCTTCTTATAAAACTAACTCACACCTACTGGAAGGAATTTGGAATATAAAAGTTTCATAAAAGAATATAGAGGCCACCTGGCATCCTACCACCCACTGATACCGCTCAACATTTTTGTAGATCTCTTTCACACTTTCTCTCTTGGTGGGTATTTGCAAAATTAAGATTAGATTAAACACTCAGCATTTATCCCCTTAACATTAAATTGCAAGCATTTTCTCTTTTTTATTAA